GATTACAATTTTATTTAAAAATCGCTTTTTATTCAAAATCTGAGCTAGATAGATATAGGAAACCCTAATATAATTTGAAAGAGCATTCGAGTCTGCTTCGATTTATTTAAAAAATACAAGGTGTTACATTAGAAATAACAAAGTTTTTATAGTTTATATAGTGGTAATAGTCTATTCTATTGTAGCATGCAAATTTAAATATCTTTCAATATTTCAAAAACTAAAGATTTTAAACATATTTAACCCTTATAATAAATGCCTTTTTTGGGCCCAAGAATCCAAAAATGAAATAAAATACCGGGTGTTCCATAAGAAAAAATAAAACTTTGGTATGGATCTCAGTTCTGACACACCCTGTACAATTCAAAATAATTTTAAATTATGCACATTGCCTTCACACATGTACCCATAAAATATTTTGTTTCTACATCTTTCCGTTTTCGTATAATCAACCGAGGCGAATGAGGTGCGCCACTCTGTATAGATAAATTCATTGATACTTAAAACACTAGAACCTAATTTTCATAGATATCTAAATATTTTAGCTTCAAAAAATAACTCTAACGCTAACCTCTAACGCTAAAGAAATGTCCTTAACTTCGTATATTTCCAATACCCCCTAATTCTGATGTTTTTAATATTTCCCTATTAACTTTTTACCTATTATTAAATGCTATTTCATATAAGTAAATGATTAATTAATACTTATTCATGTTTGAATATATTACATAGAATTAGCATGGTTCTTTACAATTATTAGATTTGGGTATGGTTTTATACATATCTAGTTGCCTTAATTTAAAGAAAGATTTTCACTTAAAATTGTCATTTTTTAATGTAATTTTAACCCTGTTTAATATTTAATAAATAGTATAATTTACAGAAGAAAAATTACCCGAAAACAATTGACTTTAAATAAAATTACCCGAACAAATAATTGCCCGATAAAAATATCACGAATTATAATAATTGACTAAAATAAAATTTCACCGAAATTTCGATTTTTGTAAAAACTAAACCATTATACCAAAAAAATATTGCTTTTTACGGGAATTATCTTTTTGATTAATTTTCCATTAGGGGCAATCATCGTTTCGGTAATTTGCTTTCGGTCAATTTTCTTTTCGCTGTTTGTTTTTGAGAAATTTTCCGGATAGGTAGATAGACATCTTAAATTTGTAAAAAAGAATCAATGCCGAAAATGGTTTTAGTTTGGTTTGTTTGTTCTTCAAATGTCATTCTTTATTTAAAATTAAAAATAAATATTTCTAAAACTGTTAAATTTGAGAACTTTATTGCAAATTTTCAAGTTATGTTAGTAAATTTATTTAAAATAATAACCAGCTAACTAACTATTTTTATTATTTTACGAATATTTTATATTAAATATACCAACTTTAAAAACTATTATCTGTTATTTAAGAATTGAAACCTATTTTTATAAATATAATATTTATGCATTATTAATAGCTCTATATTATTAACTAAATTAAAATATCTATACATTTTTACACAGCTGCATGGTGGCACAATACAAATCTAAAAAGAAATGTTATTATACAGGGTCGCTGTTATGTATGGAAACGGTCGATTATTAGTTAAAATATAGGAGGTACCGCAAAAAGTTAAATACAAAAGTTATAGGATTTTTAGATATCTATTAGCAATTAATACATTTAAGTATACAAAGTCGGTCATAAAGACGTGGCACGTAGCCTCCTGTATGGCTACGTTTAAAAAAAAAATTTGATGTGCTACAACTTTATGACCGACCCTGTATACTTAAATTTACTAGTAGCTAATAGGTATTTAAAAACGCAATACAACAGTATCACAATTTCGGCAGAATGGCATCATTAAATGAAACTGAACAGATCGAAATTAATTAAATCAAATGTTTTAAGTGATATGTTCAAAAGTCAATAACTCGAAAACGGTTGGTTTAAGGTACATTGTGTGTATTTCGATTTTTGCTTAGAATTGAAGGAAGAATTGAAATATGCAATAATATACAGGGAGTTCTATTTGAAAAAAAAATAAAGCTTTTATGTGCCACGACTTTATGACCAACCCTGTATACTTAAATGTATTACTCGTTAATAGATATTTAAAATTCCTATAACTTTTGTATTTAACTTTTTGCGGTACCTACTATATTTTACCTAATATAATCGACCGTTTCCATATACAGGGTTGTTCACCACATACGACACGGAGTATTGTAGCTAAACGATGAGATTTTTACAAATTGTAAGTTTTGGGTTCGATGAAGGACTATTAGAGGTACAATCTAAAAATAATTTTACAAGATACAGAGTGTCCCAAATAAGTAAAAAATATCAAAGTTGTATTTTTTTAAATAGAACACCCTGTATATTATTACATTTTTAGTTTCTACGATTAAAATAAATGTACATTTGATTAAGGTTTATTATACTTAAACCTTTACCGTTTTTGAAATATTTTCAATTTTGTGAAATTGCAGTAAAAATTTTAAGGCTTCATTTCTCCAAGGATATCAAAGTTTTTAATACTAAATATTTACTGAAGTTTATTTACTGATCAGTTACTGTGTTGCAATAATAAAAATAATACTACCTTATACAGAGTGCCTAAAATTTTATTTTAAATAATTATTAGCTTCAAACGGCAATAACTTGTTTAATTTAAATGGAACACCCTGTATATTTTACGAGAATCAGATGCACAATTTAATTGTCTATGAAATTATATTATACCATTTTTTACCTCTTATCTCTTTAAGTTTCCGTAGAAAATGCATTTTCTTGTAATTTAGAACTTATTTATCAATATACCCATGGACTATTGACATTTTAGATTATTTTTAAAGATGTACCAAATTTTTAAAGAGTACAGATACTAATATTGTCGAATATAATTCGTTTATTTCATTAAAAAATAAAAAAAAACTGTTTAAATATTTGTTAAAGAGGATCAGTTAATATGATTCCAGTATTCAAACAACATTAACTGACTGTTTGCTTTGATTAATAATAATTGCTCCAAATACTAAAAAACTGAATTTTGTATGGGCATTAGACAGTGTGATAAAAAGTAACACCTTAAAAATGATATTTCATTTTTTAATAAATGCTTATTTATAACTACAGAGACTTTAATTTGATAACTTATTATTATATTGATTTCTGACTCAAATCCACATTTATTTATAATAATTTAATAACGAACACAATTAAGTATGTAATTAATTAGTATATGGGCGCAAATAATGGTGTTATATTTAATTAATGGTATACTCTTTTATAAAGATTTAAATAGTTTTCTTTTTGCATACAAATGGGCTAGTAATATTATCGTTTTGCTAAAAACGATAATATTACTAGTCTGTACATTTTGTACATTTGTTGCTTTAAAAACAATCTAAAATGTCAATATTCCATTGATATATTGATAAATGAGGTCTAAATTATAAGAAAATGCATTTTATACGAAAACTTGAAGGGATAGGTAAAAAATGGTATAATACAATTTGATAGACAATTTAATTGTGCATCTGATTCTCCTAAAATATACAGGGCATTCCATTTAAATTAAAGAAGTTATTGCCGTTTGAAGCTAATAATTATTTAAAATAAATTTTTAGACACTCTGTATAAGGTAGTATTATTTTATTATTGCAACACAATAACTGATCAATAAATAAACTTCATTAAATATTTAGTATTAAAAACATTGATACCCTTGGAGAAATGAAGCTTTAAAATTTTTACTGCAATTTCACAAAATTGAAAATATTTCAAAAACGGTAAGGTTTAAGTATAATAAACCTTAATCAAATTTACCTTTATTTTAATCGTAGAAACTAAAAATGTAATAATATACAGGGTGTTCCATTTAAAAAAATAAAACTGATATTTTTTACTTATTTGGGACACTCTGTATCTTGTAAAAATATTTTTAAATTGAGCTCTAATAGTCCTTCAACGAACCCCAAACTTACAATTTGTAAAAATCTCATCGTTTAGCTACAATACTCCGTGTCGTATGTGGTGAACAACCCTGTATAACAGCGAAATATTAGAAAAAAACGCCTAACAAAACCAAACATATTTATCAGCATATCGTATTTAATTGAATAGAGAATCATTATTTGCATCAGGGTACTACAAGAAAGAAAGCCGGAAAAATGAAATACTCCCATGGCTCATTAGCATATTTGGTAAAAGCATTTATTACGAATAATTTGGTACCACAAACTTCGTATTTCAACACCCTCATTTTTCTGGCACTCTAGGTTTAAATTTAAAATACTATTTTCTTAATTGAGAATGTCAAAAAATGACATATGATATATCATTGTATTCAGAATATGATTTTCTATTAAATAAAGTAAAAAATACCGAGAATACACGTTAAAAATTAAAAGTTTTAATCATTTCGGGTGAGACAAACTGTCCTCATTTATGTATTATTCATTTTCCTCATTATTTTGTGTTTTATTTATGTAATATACTAACATACCAAATCTCGTCTTTTATCTAAAAAACACTTTTGAAAAACATCCGGTATATGAAAATCATACAAAATTATATTTTGTACCTAAACTGGATACAGTCATTTATCAAGATTATTAATAAAAAATCGTAAATTTTTCTTTTTCATCACCAAAAAAAAAATTAGTAAAAATTCAAAATGCTACATTCCAATTTGCTTCATTTTAATAAAGATTCAAATTGGAAAGGGAAATTCAAGGTATTTAAAATTTACATGAGATTTCCTATGTGCAGATGGACGATGCAACACACTATATGGAGGGAGTGGCCCAATTTTTAATTAGACAAGTTCTAACAGGTCGAGAATAAAAACTGGTATCAGCTGGATATTGCAATTAAAAGTTCTATTAATAGATATTACTAATTATTTATCCGCTATTAGAAACAGTTTATATAAATTGATAGAAATATATGTTTGTCAAATAAAAAATTTGAAAAAAAAGTTTATTGTTTTTTCTAACTTACCCGACTACTAGGCTAAAAGTTTTGAAAAAAGAAATCCTCACAATTGATTCACTTAAACCTGCATTCATAAATATATCAATAAAAAGCTTTGCACTATATTTTATTCCAGTTTCATTATAAAAGTTTTGTTGATACTCATTATGTATGCTATAATTCTAAAAATTATTATTTAACCTTATAACTAAACTTATCAAAGTTAGAAGGCATAAAATACATTTTAAATAAAACCTCGTGCTTCCTATTATTGATATCCCGCTTATCGACAATCCACTTTGTAAAATATATTTTATCAGTATTGGTAAATATTATTTTGTAATGTTCTAAATATGCAACTAAATATACAACAAAACGAACTATTACAGAACGGTAATTCTTTTAGGCATGAATTTTTTAATTCATGCCTAGGATTTCCTTAATGAAGAAAAAAATGCATTTAGTGGTACATAAATTTTTAAATTTGATGCAGGTTTCTGTTTATTAGATTTATTAGTTCAAGATTGTGGTATTCGTTATTTAACAAGTTACATGTAACATCATTTTCAGCAGAAATAAACAAATGTTAATAAATCAACATAAAATATTAATCTAAAAAATCATATTTGACTGATAGTAGATGTCTTTATAGTACAGGATGCATGAGTATTAAGCTCATCGTATTTTTAATGAAAACCTAATTTTTACGTATATTTATGAATAGGAGAATTAGAGTTTTTCCTAGGAGCCCAACAGAGCGTTGAGCTCCTATAATAAAAAACTTAGGAATTTTGTTAAGTTTGTATAGATATTTTTACTTAGGGTGGCACAAAAAAATGTGAGTGGATCGGGATACTTTTTTTTAAATGGAACATAAAAATACTTGTATATTAGTCTCTCATTAGCCCTGTATATTATTGCATTTTTGGCTTCCTTTCTGTAAATAATCTACCTCTACTAATATGTAAAATCCTTAAGTGACTGACATACTGATTAATCACGATCCTGCTCAAACCACTCAACGTAAGAAGCTCAATTTTGGCATACAGGTTGTAAAGGTTCTAGGGTGTAGAGGTTCGATAAGAAGGGATTTTTCGAAATTCCAGTTCCAAGAGGGTGAAACCACCCCTCAAATATTACAATTTTTTTTATTTAAAAAACGGTCAAGTTTCCGAAAAAACGCTTAAACACGTATATTTTATTTTGTTTTTTTTACATATTTTAAGATTTTTTAAAAATGTTGTTTAACAGGGTGTTTCGAAAAATCTGGTCATTGATTAATCACGACCCTACTTAAAGCGCTTGACGTAAAAAGCTGATTTTTGGAAAACAGATTGACTTTAGGGTGTAGAGGTTCGATAAGAAGGGATTTTTCGAAACTCGAATTCTAAGAGGGTGAAACTATCCCTCAAATATTAAAATATTTTTTATTTAAAAACCGGTGAGTTTTTCGGAAAAACTCTTAAACACATATTTTATTTTGTTGTTTTACGTATTTTAAGATTTTTTATAAATTTATACAGGGTGTTTCATAAAATATGACCATCGATTAATCATGATTCTGCTTAAACTGATTGGCGTTTAAAGCTGATTTTTGGCAAACGGATTGACTGTGGGGTGTAGAGGTTCGATAAGGAGGGGTTTCTCAAATCTCAAATTCCAAGAGGGTAAAACGCCCCTCAATTATTACAATATTTGTTATTTAAAAAACGGTTAGTCTTTCGGGAAAGCACTTGGACAAGCATAATTATACAGCGTGTTCCAAAAAGTTGGGTAACTTCTTAACCACGATTCTGCTTAAACTGCTTGACGTAAAAAGCTTATTTTTGGCAAACGGATATTTCGAAAGTCAAATTCCAACGAGATAAAACTACCTCTCAAATATTACCAAGTTATATAATAATATCGCCATATTGTTTTTTCTCATGCTGACATAAATGTGAGAAAATGTTATCCATCAGTTTGTATGTTAATGGAAATTCTTGCTTTGCTTTATCATCACCATTACAAATTATTAATTCGACGAACGAAGTTGTTGGTACACGCGAACGAAGTCGCTGGTACACGCTAGTCACTTTATATAATCCTAAGATCCCAAGTAGCATTTGGACGTTATCTAACGTCGGGTATACGTCGCGTTCAATAAACCCGACGTCGGGTACCAACGTCTGTTCGACCGCCTGACGACCCTTATTTGCACCTAAATGGGGAATACAGATTCGAGTCGCCTCGACGTCGGTATCTGACCTAATAGGGAATGTAATTCTACCAATTACCAACGTCATATTACGTTGGATTTTAGTTACTTAAAATTCGTCGCTAAGCACTTACGTTATTTTTGGTTTCATATTCGCTACCAAGAATACATAAAAACCTAACCAAACTACCTAATTACAAATGGATTCATAATCACTCCTCGAATATAACTATAAGTGCCTATCTAATTTCGTATTATAGTAATTCTGAATCATTAATCCAGACATCAGTTTTGTCAACGGAAGTCACTTTCTTGATATATTTGATTAAAATACTCCGGAAAACAACGAGCGCTTTCAAAATTAGGTAGATTTATGAAATAAAAATATCTATAAAAAAGTAACTCACAATTTTTTTTTTATTTTCTAGCTGGTTTAATCATAAAACTGTACTGTGGTTCCCCCCAAACTCAACCTTATCGATATTATTCTACTAGAAATCGAAATGTTAATATAAATTTTAAAAACAAAAAACGATTTTAAAATGGCTGACAATCGGATACGTGTTAAGAATGGCGGATTTCTGAGTCCGACTTAATATGAACTACCAATATACCAATTCCGACCGGGTCTCCAACATTAGTCGTCTCACACGACCGAAGTCATCAAACCGGAAGACCGGCAATCGTATTATGACGTATATAATTCCAACGTACGCCACGTAACCTCACTTTGTTTATCAGTGATTTGTGGATTTGTGCAACTATATTTTAGTTTTTGTTTTCTCCTTAAAAAAAATGGGCAGCCACTTTTTTAAGCCTAACCTCACATGTCAGAGGAGGATGGGGTCTGCTGGTTTCCTAAGCTAAAAAATGAAATTAAGATGCGCCAGTGTAATGCAGCATCTCTTCCGGATAAAAAGCATTTACGGGTGGAGGCAAGACATCACTACTACTATTATTATTTTGCAAAAGCCTCGACCTCTTTCTGTAAAATGTAGATGAATGTCTAAATGCCTTTTTAGTGTTTTTTAGGCATAATAAAAAAATTAAGTTTGTTTACAAAAACTTTTTATTAGGTTATGTTCATGATGTTCATTAGGTCGCAAATGCTACTTAATGGGTTGTATTTACGGACATAAATAGAGATACGTAAATTAGGTTATAAATATGAACATAAAATACAACAAAATATAATTGGACGTTAGTTTAGGGATTATCAGTGAGACGTATCCTATTCGGACAACGGGTAGACGTCGGGCTAGTTCAAGTATATGTAATAAACGTGCAAGCCAACGTGGGAACGACGTTGGGAAATTAATAAAAATGGTACGTTGTTATTTTGTACGTCGACAGATCGTTGGATTTACCGACTCGGATTCAACGACGTCGCTTTTAATAGGAAAGCGACGTCACAGGTCGTATCACGAGCACCCGACCTAAATTTGCACAAAGTCTGACGTCGCTTCAGGTCAGATTTAGTTCGAAGTCAGTTAGATGCTACTTGGGATATTATTAAATATGTTTTGATAGTTTCAGAGATATTATTAAAAATTGGTCAAGTGCGAGTCGGACTCGCGCACGAAGGGTTCCGTACAATTCATTATCTATACAACATTAGACACTATATTATTATAAACTTTTTTTCCGATTTAGCTGAAATTTGTTCTTATAGCGGCAACATAGATACATTATCTGTAAAAATTTCAACTGTCTAGCTATAACGGTTCGTAAGATAGACCTTTGTGACAGACGGACGGATAGCGAAGTTTTAGTAATAGGGTTCCCGTTTTTACCCTTTGGGTACCAAACCCTAAAAAATGGTTTACCAATGTTCTTAAAACTAAACAAAATATATTATTTTTATTTAAGAATTTTTTTAAGATTTCGGAAAGCATTTTAGGGCATCATAGGAACTTTTTGTTTTACTTTTATCAGTAGAATCACCAACCGATGTTAGATACACTATTTTTTTGACACCCTGTATAATCTTACCAGTTTTTCTAACAATTTTATAGTATCTTTATTTGAAATAGGTGTAAAATTTCACAATCCTTTCAAAGCCACAACTGATTACTATTATTATAAGTCGATTTTTGTAGTGTGTAATACATTATTATGTTAATCTATACCTCTTTTGATTCTAGAATGGCACCTCGCAAAATCAAATCCGGTCCCGTAGAGACTAAACCGTACTATCCTGCGATGAATATGAAAGAGGAACTACAGAAGAAAAAAGAACTGGAGGCAGAAAGACATAGAAGAATTAAGCAACTGGCTCAAACGTTCAAACACCATAAACCAGCACTGCCAGAAAGCAATAATTCTACTTCAAAAACTTCATTGACTGGCAATAATAGCTTAAAGACAACGGATACTCCTAATGATCTGGATAATAAAAACAATAATAAAAAGAATGATGCTGTTTACAAATTTAAAGCAATCAATTCAGTAAAGTTATATCAAGTAACTAACAATAATCTTCCACCGACAGCTTCAGACAGAACAGCAAAGGAATTTAATGTGCCCATATTATCCCCAGTAAAGCAGCTTAATAGTGACAAAAAAGTAGATGTTTCCAAATGGATTCTTAGAAAAATCGATTTTGATACAAAACCTAATACGCTTACATCGTTTGAAGATAACAAATTGTATTCCGCTATAGAGGATGGTAGTCGCACATTTGTACTTAGACCAACCCTACCAAGCTATGTAACAGAAGAGAACAGAATTAAGGTTGAAACAATGACGTATGGTAGAATAAATGATGCACAACCACTATATTATGATGACATAAAAGTAGATCCTTGGGAAGACCCTTTTGGTTCGCCATTTTCTGCACCAGAGATAAAGTACCGCAACGTATATTTTCCTACAAGAGCAGGAGACACATCCTAAAAAAATATACTTGCTGTTACTCAAAAAATTTTATAATGTTCCTCACATCTGACATTTAGAAATATTTACAGATATATTTTAAATATCCTATTGTTTTAATGTATTTATTTATTATTTAAAATACATTATATATAATTTTTATAATTTATTTTCTATATTATAATATTTGTATTTATTGACTATATTGTATTGATATAAG